CTCTCTCTCTCCCTCCCCCCCCCCTTCTCTCTCTCTCTCTCCCCTGAACAGTCAGTGTTCTATGGCTTGCAGCAATACTGACGGGTGTCGGTATCGGAAATTACGACTGGATAAAGAAAATGGTATACTCAAATGAAGTCATTTTTCTTACCATGAGAAGAAATACAGGATTAATAGTAATAACAGTGGCAATAATTCTCCTCCTTTTTTTTTTTTTTTTTTGTTTTTTTGTTTTTTTTTTTGTTTTGATCTCCTGCGCTCTTGAAATCCCCTTTCTCTCTCTTGGCTCCGTATGTCCCCCATTTTTGTTTTTTGCAACCCCTGTTTTCCTTTTTTTCTTTTTTTTTTCCTTTCTTTTTCACCCCCTGTTCTCCTATCTATAGCTATCTTTCTACCATGCAATCGTATAGACCATCCTCTCATCGATCTGCACGGCCGGTCCCCCACCTCATGGCAGACCCCATAGCCCAACCCACCACGGCCTGCTATTCAGGATAGCACACCTCCTAGTCGACACTCCCTCCCCTTGGAAGGGAGGGGATGGAGAGGTTGATAGCGCCATGGTGGGTTGGGCTATGGGGTCTGCCCTACCCACCACGTCGAGTGGAGGGTATGGAGACGGTGATAGCGCCCATGGAAGGGAGTGACTGTCAGGTTCGTATTGTAATTCATGTCATCTCAAGGGAGGGCTCAATTGAGAAGAATGAAATTAAACACACACACACACACACAAAAAAAAAAAAAAAAGAGAAGAAAGAAACACTCTAAAATAGGAAGAAGGTGACATGAGCATACTCAGCTATATGAGGTCTGCTATCAACGTCTCCATACCCCCCCCTGGACGGAAATCAGGGTCGAATAGGAAAAATATGACATGCCAATCCCCTTCCGCTCAAACGGCACTCAGATTGAGAATGCGATGACCTGACTGAAGATGCCTGAGACTGGGTGGAAGTTTTCAGGTGGCGGGCAGAATTTCTTGCCCTGGGTAAACCCAGGGGGATTGTCTGGCTGGACAGGCTGGCTGCCCTGTGGTGGGTGGATGAAGAGTCTGCCTCTTCCGCGCTGCTGATTGCCGCCGCACAACTCCATGCAGTACTACCGTCTTCCCCCGAACACAACGCACAAGCTCAATATATACGAGCTGCACCTGACCGGAAATGTGGCTTGTATACATTCATTATCAGGGTGCGGTATGTTTGGAGGAAGACGGTAGCATTCCCCTTTTCATTTACTCTCTCTCTCTCTCTCTCTCTCTCTCTCTCTCTCTCTGTCTGAACACGCTCACCCACACACACTCTCAAACACACAAGCAGCACCAATCAGGTCCCCCCATACCATTGTGGCCCAACCAGCGAAAAAGTGTGTGGGGGTATCCGGGCAATCTGAGAGGGGGTGCGCATCGGGATGGATCCATCCATCCATCTTAATTCACTCATGGAAGGAGAGCTTGTAGTTCCTGATGATGAGTTCGCTCTGGTCTTCTCCCTGCTCGCCTTTCCATTTTCTGCCTCGTGCAACCAGCCCCCCCATGTTTACCCCCC